CTTCATTATCAGTTTGATTGACCTCTATTTTTCGTAAAGTGCTTGTGGCAGGAAGCCGGGAATAATTACTGTGGATACTACGTCTGCGAGTTCATTTACAACGCGACAGCCAAGAATAGGCGGGGCTACTCTAAAAGACAATATGAAATGTGTAAGCAAAAATTATTCACAAGTTTATTTTATTACCATCATTTCTGTTGAGTTTCATTCATATATATGTATTGACCCCCTTATTCAAATTAGATGTGGGAGATGCGGAATGAACTCCTATCAGAAGATCGCATGCGAGCAATTCAAAAGGAATTGGCTGGATTCTTTCTTGACCACGTCATCAATAAAGCCGGAGAATACCACCATGCATGTGGAAGTTGAGTTGATATGTTAGGGTATTGTAAGAGATCTTACACATTGTATATATATATAGCTAGTAGCGTCGGTAAGATATACGAAAACTTGTTGTTCGACCAATCTCTCGAAGAAGGAGAGGTCGATCACTTCTGTATATGTTTATGACGATCTTCTGTACTTAATAGTTCCCTTCATTTGCTTACTAGCTAGGTAGCGTGTCGAGTCCTCTCTATACGTAGCGTCGACCAAGCACCGAGATAAGAGAGGACACTTGTCTCTATTAGCTAGCTAATACAATATATGAAACCCCTAAATTAACGCTACAAAACCCCCCAAACCCTCCCCTCCCCCTTTCAGAAAAAAAAACAAAAAACCCAGCCCTTGAAAAGCTGACGCGAAGCCTTTTGGTCCCGGTTGGTGGCACCAACCGGGACAAAAGGCCCCCTGTCTGGGCAAGCGGCAGCGGCCACGTGGAGCCCTCATCTGTCCCGGTTCTTGGGCGAACCGGGACTAAAGGGACAGGGCTTTAGTGACGACCCTTTAGTCTCGGTTCTGGAACCGGGACCAATGGCTCTCACGAACCGGTTCGTATGACCCTTTTTCTACTAGTGGTTGGTGCTATCTGTGTTCTTTTTTCATGCAAATGCAATTTTAAAAAGATTGAACATACAACTAATATTTAAATTAACAACCAGCTTTGTACCCGAGTCCAATATGGATCACAATATTGTAGTCAGTTTCATTAGTACGATCTACTGAGGCAATAAGATATTCTAGTCGGTTTTTGATTTTGAACCAGCTCATGACATATAATAATCTCTTTTTTTGCGAGGTTGCCCCGTTGTGACCGTATGAGATCAGTGTTTCTCCAGCCGGTTTCATAACCATCTGCGAAAATATGAGTATTAGAAGAATTCTAGCTGAGTTGCCATATGGGCAGCATCCATACCGCACATGAAGGATCCTTCATCTTGATATGAAGATTGCCGAGGCAAAGCGCAAACACAAAATCGTCTTAAAAAGTGCTCCATAATTTTCTCACATGGGGGACCCGTTTACAAGTGGCAGCAACGAGGAAGGGCGAAGAGAAGGGACTGAGTGGCAGCCAGCTTAGGGGGAGGGGGATGAGTGTGGTGGCGACAGCGATGGGGCGACGGGAGTTTTATATACCCGCGAAGGGGCGCACTCCAGCGGGTAATGGGGGCTAATTTTGCCGTGTGCGGTGAGAAACGACTGTGAAAGAAGGCGACGACAATTAATTGCCCCTCGTTGCGGTGAAAATGCGGTTGCTACATGGTAGGTGAGGAAGCCGCAACCGTACGGACGACTGCGCCATTGACCAGGCTGCGCACGTGAGGAAGAGGCCAGGCTAAACTTCCCTCCGGTGCTAGCGGTTACGGATGAAGGTATCTCCATATCAACACCCCCTCCCCCCGACTCAAAATATGGAGGCCCGCGCGCACGATACAGACCGCGCTTTATAATTCATGGCGATTCGATGACATATGACAACTCTGCTAGCTCACTCTGTGCATTTTAAAACTGAACCGAAAAACCATACCGAAAATAAACTGAACCGAACCGAATTCACGGTTTTCATGGTTTCTGGTTTCGATATGGTATGAACTTTTCATACCGTTTTGAATTTCGGTTTTTATGGTATATACCCAAAAACCGAATGGTTAACCGAATAAACCGAAATAAAAAAATATTTCTTTAGGCAAACAACGATACAAGTAGTCATTTTTCTTGTATAAGAGTAAAATTTCCTGCAAAGAACATCCATTTTTTCTTGTAACATAGTAATTTTTCTCTTGCAAAAATGCTAACCACGTCGTCCATAACCTTTCAAGGCATGAATTGAGGCATGCATATATACTTATATAAAGTTATATACCGTTTGTATTTAAAAAGTATGTGTTTGAATTTATAAGTTTGTAAAATATAGTGTCATTTTCAAATTCGCGTCAACTTTGGTTATTATGATATATACCGAAATCATACCAAAATAATTTGGTATATACCGAAACCAAACCGTATTTTAATATCATACCATATAAACTAAAGTATTAATATCGTACAAACCAGAAAACCGTATAAACCGAACCATGCAAACGAAATAAATCGAACGCACAGAGTGACTGCCAGCCTAGAATGTCATTTTGGGCCAAAATCATCGTATCGATAGTTATTACGCCCATCAATCAAACATGATAACTCTGTTAGAGGTGCTTTTAGCTCCAATTCATTCGAAGTCAGAAGCCAGGATTTGTCACAAAACCGGCTATAAAACCATGTTCCATACTAGTGGAAGGAGGTAAATGAAAGTTCCATTTCTTTATATACTTATTATATTTTGCTACCCGACACATGAGCGTGTAGTCAATCATCCAATCTGCTCTTAAGTCCTATCACCATGCATTGCAGTATTAGCAGAGAATATATGCCCGAGTGACCAAAGTTCAGCACTTTGCGCACACGCAGCTACCCATCCATCGACACATATTTTCTCCTTAGAAAAATAGCAAGTCTAGTAGCTAGGGCTAGGGTTTTTGTCCTGGTGTGGCAGGTGAGGCAGTACTAGCGCATTGATTTTCTTGGCCAAGGCAGAGAGAAAGATGAGGTGAGAATCCGGCAGCACCCAACCACGAGAGCTTTCTCCGTGGGCGTTGCAGGCCGATCCGGTACCTTGGTGTACTGCACTGAACTCATGTGCATTTCCCATAAGAGATTCCTCCGTTCTACTGTAGGTTGCCAAATATAGTTCCACTGTACATGCACATCCTTCTCCACCCACTTGTAATTTTTTGCAGAGATACATATATGATTAATTAAAAAGGGATACGAAGAAAAATCGTAATAGAAAAACATTTTTTAAGTTACAAATAAACTGAAAAATCACATACGTTGTTTTTTGTATAAAAATATGCTCATTTGTGTGGTACTCACAAGGAGTGCAGATTTATAGACCCTCATATTATTTGTTTGTGTAGCCCATAAACTAACATATTTCTTTATAAAAGTTTACATGCACCTATTGAAATAATATATGTGCTTGTAGAGATTCAGAATTTTTTAGACTTTAAAATGTGTTTGTCCAAGGAGCCTGGGATTGTTTTCCGATGTTAATTTATCATAGATGGACCCAAATGTATATAGTTGATCTCCTAGGTTTTTTATTAGTAGAAAATTTGTTGTGTTACAACATATAGATTTGTGGATGTTCCTTGTCAATTTAGACGCCCTTTGTCCTTCTTTTTCTTCTACACATTTTTTGATGAATAATTCATTGTACATTACAAGAGAGAGGGGAATAACTCCAAACCATGAGTTATTTTTCTTCTTATGAATTAACTCAAATGTTTTCCTAGAATATAAGAAATATGAGACCATAAATAGAGAGATATTAGAGTTCTAGCATTGGTAGCGCTTGCAAGCTTATTACTAGTCACTCTCTATAATTATACCTTTTAATAGTACATTTTATTGCTTGAAGGAAAATACAGAAGAATGGGATTTCATGTCCATCAGAATTTTACATGGAACAATTTTTGGGAAGATATTTTACATGAAACTTCGAGAATAAGATTATACAGAAGGATTATTTCAATGCAGCAGATGGATATTGGTTAGCTAGGAGATCTAGAAAAATGTTTCCTAAATCAACTAAAACATGAGATCTGAGAAAACATGAAGGATTCTCCTAAAATATGTAGTCAATGGACGAATTATGTAGGAAATTTAAAAACCGATCCTACATTTCTTAAAAGAATCCAGTATAAAATTTCCACATTGTACTTCAATACCATTGGTCTCCTAGTAAAATCATATATCTTTGAAACAGATAATGTAATCCTGGATTATAGAGAAGTGTTATTTTGATGGTGCAACTGGAATATGGTTAGCTAGGAGATCGAGAAAAATGTTTTCTAAATCAACTAAAACATGATATCTGAGCATATATGAAGTCAATGGACGAATTATGTAGGAAATTTAAAACCAAACCTACATTTTAAAAATGAATCCAGTATAAAATTTCCACATAGTACTTCAATACCATTGATCTCCCAGTAAAATTGTATATCTTCCAAATAGATCATGTAATCTTTTATATATACATTTTTCTCTATTAGTATTCAGTGGAGGTTTGCATTTCCACAATTTGTGGTATAAGGCTGCCAAATGCTGGCTAGAGATTGGTTGCATACCAATTTTCGTTGCCAATCTCACAAATGGTTGTCAAATGTTGGCAATTTTTGATTGTGCCAAATATCTGAACTTGATTTCAACAATAAAGCTAGCTAGAAATCTGCTTGTCATGAGCAATCACGCACTTTTTTATATACCTCCATGTGACAATGAAACGACATAAGTTACTTCACTGCAGAACACATGTTTCACTTTCATCAGATCTCATGCTAAGAAGAGAACATCAAAGATACTACCGATTCAAAACCTGTCTAGTAAAATAACAATATGCATACATACTCGCATAGCAAATTCTCAGCAACAAATTATTAAATATCACACTTACTACTACTAAATTCAAACCTGAAATGTCTCATGAGTACTAGTACTAAATATAGCATATTTGATGCATTACAAATTAAGAGCAGGGTGTAGCAACTAGTGCAATTAAGCAGTCACATAATCTAACCATGCATCCCATGCAAAGCCACCGGCGTCGTGGCATCCAGAAGGCCGATGGCCGGCGTCGCCAGGCGTGGCTCGTACGGGAGGACCCGGAACCCGTTGCCTCCGCCGTTGACCACTGCGGCCATGCCGTGCCCGACGTATGGGCATGGTGGCGCCCACCGCCACTCGTCGCGGCGCGAGTCGAACACCAGCACGGTCGTCGGCACCGGCACGGCTGCCGGCCCGCCGCGGGGCGCGAGCACGACGAAGTCGCCGTGGGCGGCGCACTCGAACCCTCGCCCGCCCTCCGCGGCCGCGAACTGCGCGTGCACGTCCTGCGGCATCCGCGCCACCTCGCTCCACGCGCCGCCGCCGCCGCCGGAGGCTCCTCTGCCGCGCAGTGTCCAGACGCGCACGCTCCGCGGCACGCTGAGACGGCTCTTCTCCACGGACGCGACGAGCCCCACCCTTGCGGTGCCCGAGCCCTCCCTGCCGCCACCGAGCTCCACCAGCGCCGGCGACCGCAGGAACCGCCTCATCGGCGGCTGCACCTTGCTCCAGACGTTCGCCGCCACGTCGAACACGAGAACCGCGAACGGCGACGAGCTCATGCAGTAGAACCTTCAAAGGACACAGATCAGCAGCTCATAATCAGAAATTTGCACAAGAACCCGGTCCATTCTTGGATCGTATGGGGGAAAACGTTATGTGCAAGAACCCCTTTCCATTTATGCGTATCTGTGAGGGACAGAGAGAGCGGGAGTACCTTCCGGAGGCGAAGGCCATGCCGGCGCGAGGATCGAGGGAGGACAGGCGTGGCAGGAGGGAGCTGGGGGCCCAGAAGCCGGAGGACGGGACGGAGGCGGCGTCGGCGACGAAGGTGTCGACGGAGATATTCTTGACGGCGAAAGGGGACACGAGGTCGTCGCCAGCCACGACGGCAATGATGGACGTCGACCCCGCGGCCAGGCCGACGGTGGGGGAGAGGCGCTGCGTGGGGCCGAGCGGCAGCGCGGCAAGGAGGCGCGTGATGGGGTTGGCGAGGAGCAGCGTTTTATGGCCGGAGGCGTCGGAGAGGAACGCCAGCAGGCCAGCGGACGCGGCAGCCGGCGAGAACCCCGCGGCGGGGCCCGGGATCGGGAGCGGGAGGAGGAACCAGGACGGTCCCTGCGGCTGGGAGGTGGGGTCGAGGAGGAGGAGGTGGCCGGCGGAGGGGACGGCGAAGGCGAAGAAGGGGAGGTGCGGCGAGTGGAGGAGGTGAGAGTGGAGGAATGGGGAGGAGAAGAGGAGGTGGTAGAAGCGGCGGCAGACGGCGCGGGCGCGGAGGAAGGACGGCGTCGGGAGGCACGCCAGCACGCGGTCCAGCAGCGGCTGCGGCAGCCGGCGCCACACCCGCGGGTCCATCTCCACCGCCTCCGCCGCAGAGGAGGGGCGGCGGCCAGGCCCAGACGGCAGGGACAGGTGGTGGTGAGGGTGTGGGTTCATCGTGAGCTGAGGGATGGAGAGTGGGAGGCAGCTGGCCCGGAGTGTGAGGGAGAGTGAGTGAGCTGAGCTGCAGGTGTGAAGAGGGGGAACCGGGAGGAGAAGAGGGCACAAGAAATACTCCACTTGCATTGAGGAGCCTAGCTAGCTAGCTAAATGGTTGAGTTTTAATGAACCTTGTACATTGGTCTCCGGCTCTCCGCTATTGTCCTAGAAACATTGATCTCTTCTGCATTTGATCTTGATGGGAAAAACTTAATTAATTATTGTTGGTTACTATGCCAATTCTAAGTTGCCTAAGAAAGGGATTTTGCTAGAAATCAAATGTCTTTTATGGCAAATTATGTTGTCGCGAGGATGACAATTTTTATGACAAATTATATTGTCATAAGGATGGCAATTTCTTTTAGCAAACATGGTAAATCATCGTCATGTTCAATTTTTTGCCAGGAATTGCCATGCTTGCTAAGCAAATATCTCATCTTCGTAACATCATAATTTGCCCTAAAAAACATTCATATTGCAATGCCTAAAAATCCGACGTGAGATTTTTAGCATTTTCGAAATACAACTTGGAGAGAGAGAGAGAGAGAGAGAGCTCTGCAAGGCCGGAACAGAGTCAACGCAGCCGAGCAACGGCAACATCGGCGACAGGGACGACAGGACAAGCTGTGGCATCGCGTATGAAGGCAAGGACGAGGGTTGACCTGTGTGGGTGGATGGGGGGGGGGGTTAGTTTTCGCTGCCACTCATGTTAGATAGCTGTCGAGAACGAGATGGGCTGCAACATCTTCGATGAGAGCTTGGACAACACCTTGCCGGAGGCGAGGCTTGGGCACGACGTTGGCTGCGACTAGACGAAATTGTGTTGCAAGGAGGAAGAGGAACCGTGCACATCAGGAGGTTGAAAATGAAGGACAGTCGCCATATTACAATCAATGGCTTAGAAAAAAATTCGACTAGAACGATTATATCACACAATTGAGGAGTAGGTGCTCCCTTCCTTTCACGTTTGCCGGGATCTAACACTTTCTTACAGGATTGTTTATTTCTACATTGTATGATGTCTTAAATACCAGACACAAAATGGTCCAAAAATGTTTAAACATCTTTATAGTGCAACTCTAGACTCATTACTATGCAATACGCCCTCTCTTCAGGTTAACAATGTGTGGGAATGTGTCCCTAGATACTACTCTTAGTTGAATTACGTGTAGTATCAATAAAATTACACTCTTAGTTGGACCAATAAAATATTAGTCTTATGACACACAAAATGTACTATTGAATTCGTATCCTAAAGAAATTTGTAATAGTGTAACTTTTTTATGATATATAACTCATATTATATTACACTGACCGAATTATCGGTCTTGAATTACGCGCGGACCTTACAAACCAGATGGGAGGGAGTAACGTATGGGCAAAAAATAACATCGCCATAAAGTTAACGAGAATATCGGTCCCACATTCTGAAGGAAATATGCCCTAGAGGTAATAATAAAGTTGTTATTTTATATTTTCTTATTCATGATAAACGTTTATTATTCATGCTAGAATTGTATTGATCAGAAACTTAATGACATGTGTGAATACATAAACTAATACCGTGTTCCTAGTGATCCTCTACTAGACTAGCTCGTTGATCAAACATGGTTAAGGTTTCCTAACCATAGACATGAGTTTTCATTCGATAATGGGATCACATCATTAGAAGAATGATGTGATGGGCAAGACCCATCCGTTAGCTTAGCATAATGATCGTTCAGTTTATTGCTATTGCTTTCTTCATGTCAAATACATATTCCTTCGACTATGAGATTATGCAACTCCCGAATACCGGAGGAAAGCCTTGTGTGCTATCAAACGTCACAAGTAATTGGGTCATCATAAAGAGGCTCTACATGCATCTCTGAAGGTGTTTGTTGAGTTGGCATAGATCAAGATAAGGATTTGTCACTCCGAGTATCGGAGAGGTATATATTTGGGCCCTCTCGGTAATACACATCATAAGCTTGCAAGCAAATGACTAAGGGGTTAGTTACGAGGTGATGTATTACAGAACGAGAGTAAAGAGATTTGCCGGTACCGAGATTGAACTAGGTATAAAGATATCGATGATCGAATCTCGGCCAAGTAACATACCGATGGACAAAGGGAATTGATACGTCTCCAATGTATCTATAATTTTTGATTGTTCCATGCTATTATATTATCTGTTTTGGATGTTTTATCTGCATTAATATGCTATTTTATATTATTTTTGGGACTAATCTATTAGCCTAGAGCCCAGTGTCAGTTCCTGTTTTTTCCCTGTTTTTGAGCTTCGTGGAAAAGGAATACCAAACAGAGTCCAAACGGAAAAAAACCTTTGCGATATTTTTCTTGGACCAGAAGACAACCAGGAGACTTGGAGGAGCCACGAGGCGGCCACAAGGACGGAGGGCGCGCCCCCACCCTTGTGAGCCCCTCGTGCACCTCCTGACCTAATTCTTTTGCCTATATATTCCCATATATCCCCAAACTAACAGAGGCATCCACGAAAACACTTTTCCGCCGTTGTAACCTTCTATACCCATGAGATCCCATCTAGGGGCCTTTTCCGGCGTCCTGCCGGAGGGGGATTTGATCACGGAGGGCTTGTACATCAACACCATTGCCCTTCCGATGAAGCGTGAGTAGTTTACCACAGACCTACGGGTCCATAGCTAGTAGCTAGATGGCTTCTTCTCTCTCTTTGATTCTCAATACCATGCTCTCCTCGATGTTCTTGGAGATCTATTCGATGTAATACTTTTTTGCGGTGTGTTTGCCGAGATCCGATGAATTATGGATCTATGATCAGCTTATCTATGAATATTATTTGAATCTTCTCTGAAATATTATATGCATGATTTGATATCTTTGTAATTCTCTTCGAATTATCGGTTTGGTTTGGCCAACTAGATTGGTTTTTCTTGCAATGGGAGAAGTGCTTAGCTTTGGGTTCAATCTTGCGGTGTCCTTTCCCAGTGACAGTAGGAGCAGCAAGGCACGTATTGTATTGTTGCCATCGGGTTTAATAAGATGGGGTTTTCGTCATACTGCTTGAGTTAATTCCTCTACATCATGTCATCTTACTTAATGCGTTACTCCGTTCTTTTATGAACTTAATACTCTAGATGCATGCTGCATAGCGGTCGATGTATGGAGTAATAGTAGTAGATGCAGGCAGGAGTCGGTCTACTTGACACGGATGTGATGTCTATATTCATGATCATTTCCTTAGATATCATCATAACTTTGCACTTTCTATCAATTGCTCGGCAGTAATTTGTTCACCCACCGTATTATTTTCTGTCTTGAGAGAAGTGATGTCTACTACGCAACCTTCTTCTTGTAGACATTGTTGGGCCTCCAAGTGCAGAGGTTTGTAGGACAGTAGCAGATTTCCCTCAAGTGGAAGACCTAAGGTTTATCAATCCGTGGGAGGCGTAGGATGAAGGTGGTCTCTCTCAAACAACCCTGCAACCAAATAACAAAGAGTCTCTTGTGTCCCCAACACATCCAATACAATGGTAAATTGTATAGGTGTACTAGTTCAGCGAAGAGATGGTGATACAAGTGCAATATGGATGGTAGATATAGGTTTTTGTAATCTAAAAATATAAAAACAGCAAGGTAACTAATGATAAAATTGAGCGTAAACGGTATTGCAATGCTTAGAAACAAGGCCTAGGGTTCATAATTTCACTAGTGCAAGTTCTCTCAACAATAATAACATAATTAGATCATATAGCTATCCCTCAACATGCAACAAAGAGTCACTCCAAAGTCACTAATAGCGGAGAACAAACGAAGATATTATGGTAGAGTACGAAACCACCTCAAAGTTATTCTTTCCGATCAATCCATTGGGCTATTCCTATAAGTGTCACAAACAGCCCTAGAGTTCGTAGTAAAATAACACCTTAAGACGCAAATAAACCAAAACCCTAATGTCACCTAGATACTCCAATGTCACCTCAAGTATCCGTGGGTATGATAATATGATATGCATCACACAATCTCAGATTCATATATTCAACCAGCACAAAGAACTTCAAAGAGTGCCCCAAAGTTTCTACCGGAGAGTCAAGACGAAAACATGTGGCAACCCCTATGCATAAGTTCACAAGGTCACTGAACCCACAAGTTGACCACCAAAACATACATCAAGTAGATCACGTGAATATCCCATTGTCACCACAGATAAGCACATGCAAGACATACATCAAGTGTTCTCAAATCCTTAAAGACTCAATTCGATAGGATAACTTCAAAGGGAAAACTCAATCCATTACAAGAGATTAGAGGGGGAGAAACATCATAAGATGCAACTATAATAGCAAAGCTCGCGGTACATCAAGATCGTGCCAAATCAAGAACATGAGAGAGAGAGAGAGAGAGATCAAACACATAGCTACTGGTACATACCCTCAACCCCAAGGGTGAACTACTCCCTCCTCGTCATGGAGAGCGACGGGATGATGAAGATGGCCATCGGTGATGGATCCCCCCTTAGGGTGCCAAAACAGGGCCCCGATTGTTTTTTCGTGGCTACAGGGGCTTGCGGCGGCGGAACTCCCGGTCTAGGTTTCTTTTCGGGGGTTTCTGTATTTACAGGAATTTTTGGCGTCGCTCTTACGTCAGGGGGGGTCTCCAAGTCGTCCACGAGATAGGGGGCGCGCCCAGGGGGGTAGGGCGCGCCCTCCACCCTCGTGGACAGCTCGGGACTCTTCTGGCCCAACTCTTTTACTTCGGGGGCTTCTTTTGGTCCATAAAAATCATCAAAAATTGGCATGTCAATTGGACTACGTTTGGTATTCCTTTTCTGTAAAACTCAAAACAAGGAAAAAACAGAAACTGGCACTGGGCTCTAGGTTAATAGGTTAGTCCCAAAAATCATATAAAATAGCATACAAATTCATATAAAACATTCAAGATGGATAATATAATAGCATGGAACAATAAAAAATTATAGA